CTACAATGGATCCCATTCCATGCTGGTTGAAATGACAAAAGAAAATATCTGAAGAGAACCCTTCTTTTCCCACCTCCCAGTTATAAATAAGCTTGCTAGAGAGAAAACAACTTCCTCAATTCAGAGCGCACCGTTGGGTTTATTATCTTCCAGCCAATGAAAACAAATAAATAAAAAGTACCAATATATAGGAAGTCACTTTCATGGGAGCCTGCTGTGACTAGCTTCCACAGTTTACATAGGAAAGTGAACCAGACATGGCTACCCCTCATTATTCTCTTGCTGTGGATTAACCGCTTTCGTTCTCAGCCCTTACTAACCTAAAACAAAAATAATAGACACCAGACATAATGGTGACTTTGATGCCTACATCCTACTGAAAGTCAAGTGAGATTTAAGCACCTTCATTGCTTAGGCATTTTTGAAAATTATACATTTTATTAGTTCAGAAATTAAGGCCAAGATTTTCTAAAGGGACTAGGGATTTTGGATGCCCAATTTCGGGGTTCCCAACCTGAGATATTTTACAGGGTCCTCCTTAATGACTGCGTACCTGCCTCCTGAAAATCAGGCCTCCTTAAAGTGTCTCAGGTTGGTCAATCAAAAGTTGAAGCACACTAGTCGCTTTTGAAAATCTTGGCCTAAGGCTGTATGATTTTACCAAGGTATATAGCTTCCCACTGCGTTCTTCAGCAACCACTTCATGTCAGCTCAATTCCGCTGAGCCTAGTCTGTCATTTTAAAAAATAATGAATTTGAATGTCATGTTCATGGAAGATGCTGGTTTGACAACAAGTGGCCGTTTTTTGCACAGGATGGTGACAGCACAAATAGCGTTAGGACAAGCTACTCCATAGGTATGGCCAGATACCACTTCCTAGATATTCCTAGCATCTTAGGGGTGGATCTACACTGGAAAAATCAATGCGCACATCACAGCAATAGAAAACAATGGTGTAGCTGCACTGGTACTAAGCCACTAGCATAGACAGGGCTCAAGGTATTTTGCCAGGTTTTCATGACATGAATGTAACACAATGCCAGAATCCTAGCAACACAAGCACTTCCATTGCTACTCGCTGTAAAGCAATAGCTGCACCATTGATGGAAGTTGAAGTCATTTTTCTAGTGTAGAAAGGCCTGCCTAGGGGTGAGAAAAACATTTAGTATCCAGGCTGAAACTGTGAACAAGTGGTATCTTTTGTAGTGTGGACACCTTTCTACTGAGAACAAGATAAAGGCCATCGAACTAATTTCACAGAGGACTCCAAAGAGCTATGAGATGGTAACAACTTTCATGGGGCAGCTAGTCCCATGAAATGTTCATTTTCAAATCTCTTGGTTTAATTTCCACTAACAAATTCATTATTCAAAAAGGGTGAGGGATCAAAGATGCTAATATTACTATTGGTTTGAAAGGTATATTTCCCATGCAGGTGACAGATTAGATACAACAATTTACTCAATTTCTGATCAAATCCTCTTCTGAATATGCAATAGGTCACTTCTGTTGTCTACTAAGAGGTCTGTTTTCAGAAGAGGGTACATTTATAACACTATAGAAGAAATGAGCATGAAATTAAGATATACTGCAATTTATGAATATTACAGGTTTTAAATGCAGTTTTGCACAGAGTTGCTGCTTTGTTAGTTTCAGGAAGTCACATTTGCAGGACAATGAAAACCAAAAGTGGAAACAATGAAAAGGAAAATGTAGTTTAAAAAACAGAGTCAATTTGCTGGAACAAGATGTGATTCTGCATAGAATTGTGTTTCTATATTGCCACTGAGCCCCTAGAGCAAACAAAGTCTGGGGGGCCCTTTATGCTTGTCTGATCCAAAAAGAGATCTATACATTTGCAACCGTCAGTGTTCACTTGTATTTTAAATGAAATAGAATCACTCAAGTGGGTTGATCACCAGGCCTCTGGGTAGTGTGAACAGGGATAATGTTGATGCTCTGTAATGTCATGCAGAAGAATTAGATCTGAGTAAGGGTCCCAGTACCTTGGTCTCAGGACCAAGATAAGCCCTCATCACCTTTGAGAGAAGGATTACCAAACATCTTTCATCAGTGATTCCTCTCACCTGGAGAGCTATCTCTGAGCTCTGAAGATCGAATCCTTCAGTGCCCTTTAGCCAGGATGGTGGCTGTATTGTGAGCCCTGAGGGGGGTGGAAGTATATGAGCAATATGCAGATCCTCAGGGCCCCAGCCAAGTCATGGAGAACTGTGCTGTAGGAGTGGAAGTTAATCAATATATATATACAGTGGTTTTGTGGAATTGTACTGAGCACATTTATTTCTGGCTTTCAGATATACAGGATTTGACTGTATCGTCTATCTGGATGAAATGGGACTTGGATTTTATTCAGATAAAAAGATTTCAGATACACAGGGGACTTTTGAAAGCAAATGGTATGTGTGGGAGGACATAACAATTACAGGTAACAGGTCTTCTTGGATCAGAGGGAGTTGGATCCATAGGATTCTGCTGTGATGAAAAACAACTTTCAGTGACAAAGAGTCCTGTGGCACCTTATAGACTAACAGACGTATTGGAGCATAAGCTTTCGCGGGTGAACACCCACTTCGTCAGACGCATGTGGTGGAAATTTCCACCACATGCGTCTGATGAAGTGGGAAATTTCCACCACATGCATCTGACGAAGTGGGTATTCACCCACAAAAGCTTATGCTCCGATACATCTGTTAGTCTATAAGGTGCCACAGGACTCTTTGTCGCTTTTTACAGATCCAGACTAACACGGCTACCCCTCTGATACTTAACTTTCAGCGAAAATACTTGCCAGTCACAGAAGAGACTCAAAAGTCTCTACAGTCTGGTTTGGAGAAAGACTCAGACGTTCACATGCTTACCTAAACTCTCCTTTTCCTTACCTCCACGCCTCTACCCTCCCAGGCCTAACCAAAACATTCCCTCTTTTCCTGATTCTATACTTCCTTTGTCTTAAGTCCCAACTTCCTGTCTCTTGCATCCTGAAGATTCCTTATATCTTCCTGACTCTAAACAGCTCCCTAAACCCCAACAGACCCTCTACCTTTGTTGATATTCCATTTGGAAGATGTTCTTGAGATTGGAACTCTTTCTACAAGGGTCCAGGTAGGTGTTCTATTGACATCTCACATGCACCTGGGTTTTTCCAGACTAGAGGGCCCACAAAGATATTTTCTCTCATTATATCTGACCCCAGGAATTCATCACCAACTTCCTTTCCTTTCTTATAGTACCTTGTGTTCAGGATTCAAAAAGCACCTTACAAACAGTAATTGATCAAGCCTCGCAACACACCTATGAGGTAGGTGTTATTATCCCCATTTTGTAGATGAGGAAACCTAAGCACAGACAGGTTAAGGGACTTGGGAAAGGCCATATATCTGTAGCAGAGCCAGGAATAGAAACCAGATCTGCCAGTTCCTTTAATGGAAGGTTTTGATCTCACAAGGTTTAAGTACAGTATCTGGCCTAGCTAACCTTACCAGACCAGCAGAGACCTGGATATGTGAAGGTAGAAGGCCTGCTGGGAATTGGAAGCAACGGAGGAGGAGGATACATATCCAAAGACTATTTATACTAAAAAAGTTTCTGTTCAGGTTTGGTGTCCTGGCTCACATTAAGACAGGCTCATCAATCTATAGCTAGTGATAATTTCCCTAGGTATGTATATATTTCTGTGTAGTTGAATGCTCTGCTATAACTTGTCTGAATACATGCGAATGTAAAATTAAGTTTTAATCTGAAAATTCAGACTGAAAAATTTTACTATTATTGATAGAAAAGTAGAAACTAAATATTAAATGACGACAATGTAGATAACTGAAAAAATGGATATTCCTAGGGTACCATTTTGAACATAAAAAACAGACATTAAAAATCCCTCATTAAAACATATTTTATGATAGTTGCTCCCAAAGGCATAGGAATAAATTATAGATACACCACTTCTCTGTTACCTTTCCATTAGTAAATAATATTGTTGCTTTGTTTCAAATTTTTTGTTCCATTGATTGATCTGGCCCAGTTCTGCACATTTTATTTGCAACATAACCCTCACACAGTTCATTCATGAACCCCTAGCTCTGGGTTTGGTAGCCTCTGGATTAATTGAAAGAATATGTTTTCACACATGCCTTTTATTTAACTGTTAGGAACATTACCTGTCACAGATATGTGCATCTTAAATGTAGAACATTATGGTGCCTCTGTTTTTTTACAGTTGCGAAGGGGCAAAACATCTTAGACCTTATCTACACACAAAAGTGGTATGGCTTTAACTATGTCAGAATAGTTCATGTGGTACAACGCCCCTAGTGTGGATGCAGTTATACCAGTATAAAAGTGCTTATAGTGGCATAGCTTATTCCAGCTACGTCTACACTAGAACCATTTACCTGTACAGGAATGCCAGTATACTGTACAAGCAAAGTGATCTGAGGCCTGGGCTACAATGAAAAGTTATATCGACATCAGTCTGTCAGGGGGTTGAAAAAACACACCGATGGACCTAGCTATGCTGACATAATCCCCAGTGTAGACACAGTTATGTTGATGAAAGAGGGCTTCCACCAACATAGCTAACTTTGCTCAGGGAGGTGGTGTTCCTACACCAAAAGAAAAACTTCTTCTGTCAGAATAGGCTGTGTCTGCACTACATGGCTATGGTGGCATAGGTACGCCAACATAGCTATACCAATTTAGGGCAGGTCTACACTACCGCTGACGGTCGATCTAAGCTATGCCATTTGAGTGACGTTAGTAGCGTAAGTCAAGTACACGTAGCTTAGATCTACTTACCGCGGGGCCCACATTATACTATGTCAATGGGAGACGCTCTCCCGCCAACATTGCTTCCGCCTCTCATTGAGGTGGAGTACAGAAATCGATGGGAGAGCGCTCTCCCATCGATTGAGCATGTCTTCACTAGACCCGCTAAATCGATGTTGCTGCATCGATTGCAGCAGCGCTGATTTAGCTCCATAGTGAAGACAAGCCCATTGTTTCAGTAGTGTAGAGATATCCCTAGTGTAGATGCAGCTGTGCTAGCATAGATGCACTTTGTCCTGATTTAGTAAAACCACCCCCATGCGTGAAACAAGCTATATCAGTAAAAGCAAAGTTTTGCCAGTATTGCTGTATTTACTCTAGGAGCTTCTCCTGGCACAGCTATGTTGGTCAGGGATCTCCCTCTTAATACCTCAGACTGACATAGCTATGGCTGCAGATGTTCATAATATAGACATAGTCGCCTGTACAGGCAGAGGAATAAATTCTACTAGTATAAGGACTCTTATATTGGTATAACTGGCTTCCACACTAGGGCTTGTACCAGTATAATGATATCAGTAAATATTATATCCCCACCTAGTTACACTAGTACAAAACCTGTGTGTAGTCCAGGCCATACTGCAAGTGCCTACAGTGTTAATAACCAGTTCATTGGAAAGTGTGAACTACAAAAACTAGTGAAAGAAGATAACTTCTTTCTCTAGCAGTGCTTCACGTTTGTACCTTGGTTTCCTTGGGTGGGGGCTGTGAGGGGGAGGAAGGAAAAGCAAATGTCAAAGAAATCTGGGTGCGGCTTCTTTTGTCTGATCTTTGGAGAAACTTGCAAGATGCAGAATGAACCCAGCAATGGAACTCAAGTAGAAGTTGACAGCTTTACTGCTTTGTCTGAAAGTTTATTTTGGCAGTGGAGGTTCTGTCTACTTTCACGCATTGTGCGTGACAGAGAATTTACGTAAATGATGTTTACGCAATGGATGAAATAGCTGAAGCGCAAGGTGAAATTCTTCCCGCCTGCATGCCGCGTGTCACTCAGCTTCACCATACATTGCAAAAGCGGCCAGGAGTTTCGCCCTGCTTCCTTACTGGTGAGAATAAGAACGTGCTGTTCTAGCAGTTTCCTTTTATTTCAGTTCAGTCACAAGATGGGTTCTGTGCCATTCCAGTCAATAACGGCTCCTTTCCACCTAAGGACGAAAGAGATTGTTTTATTCTAATGGGTTATGGTGCCAGTTGGAGTGGTGCCCCTCCAAAAAAAATAGCGCAGGGTGTGTTTAATTGGGGTGGACCCATGAATGTCAACCACTACCTTTGTGTATTCAACAGGAATCCACCCCTCTGGAACCACGGCTTCAACTGGAACCCATTCGCATGCTGGCTGGCACTCTCTGCAGAGGGGCCCCCAAAACTGAATTGGCCTGGAGACTAAGAGGTCTCTTATTAGGTTTCTGCCCTTAATATTCAAGGGTGAGACTTTCAAAGGCTTTTCAAAGACTTTTAGGTGCCCAACTCCCATTAGATTTCAATGGGATTTGGAGCAGCTCCCCACTTAGACTCCTTTTCAAATCCCAGTTTACTGCCTAAATTCCAGGTTTCCTAATGTGTTTTCTGGGGATAATATTACTGATCTTATTTAAACTTTGTTAAGGCCAAGCATCAGATGAGAAACAAAGGGGGGGGGACACTTGAAAACTCCTTATCTTCCCCTTCCACTGTAATCAGAGGCACACACTTAAAATCAAATAGTTGTTCCTATTATATACTGTCTTCTGCCTTAACTTCTCTGCCCCCAAAAGATTTGACATCTTTCTTGTGGTCTCTTAGTGATCTCTATAAGGGTTAACCCTAAGCAACTACTACTGCTCTAAATCTCAAATGTCACTAGGTAATTTGCACATTCCTAAATAGATGGGCCTCTGAATAGGTGATTTGTATTTGTGACCCTAAGCCCAGGAAAGTACATTTTGCTGCTGCTGCTAGCATTTATTTCTTTCAAATGCTCAATAGACACACGTCTACTGGAAAATTCTATATCTTCTCTTATCTGCCTCTGCCCTGCCCTGGAAATAATGCTAAGATACATATTTAGGAGAGCATTTTCAAATGGGCCTCTACATCTGTATACATCAACATATTTATTCAGTAATTTGTAGTAGAACCCAAAGTGTGCTAGGCATTGTCAAACTTAGAGAAAGACACCGGGCTTGATCCAAAGCCCATTGAAGTCAATGGGAGTCTTACTGATGACCTCATCGGGTTGAAGATCAGGCCCATGGAGAGTACAATTGGGTATTTAGATGAAGCATTACTTGAGCTACACACACAAACAGCCACTTGTACATGTAATATTTGCAAGTGCCTGTTTGGAAGCCTCTGAAAATGAGGTCTTTAAACCATGATTTGAGGACTTCAATAACTCAGACACAGGTTAGGGGTTTGTTACAGGAGTGGGTGGGTGATATTCTGTGGCCTGCATTGTGCAGGAGGTCAGACTAAATGATCATAATGGTCCCTTCTGACCTTAAAGTCTATGAGTCTATGAGTCACCTCCAATCTAATACATTCCAAACACCAGTTACTTTGATCTGGCTTGAAAGTCTTGTGGACTTTCGAATTAGAATCACATTGGAATCACTGCAAAAAGTTCAGAAAATGATTCATAGATTCCAAGGTCAGAAGGGACCATTGTGATCATCTAGTCTGAACTGTATAACACAGGCCATAGAACTTCCCCAAAATAATTCCTTTAAGAGAGCTTTTAGAAAAACATCCAATCTTGATTTAAAAAGTCAGTGATGAAGAATCTACTATGACCCTTGGTAAATTGTTACTAGTTGTTAATAGTTAATTACCCTCACTGTTAAAAAAGTATGCCTTATTCCCAGTCTGAATTTGTCTAGTTAGAGCTTCTAGCCATTGGATAGTGTTATACTTCTCTCTGCTAGATGGAAGAGCCCATTACTAAATAGTTGTTCCCCATGTAGATACTTCTAGACTGTAATCAAGTCACCCTTTAACTTTCTCTTTATTAAGCTAAATAGATTGAACTCTTTGAGTCTATCACTATAAGGCATTAAAGATTATAATTCTTTAATCATTCTTTTGGCTTTTCTCTGAATCCTCTCCAATTTATCAACATCCTTCCTGATGTGACCAAAAAAGCAATAATATGTGGCTAAGAAATATAATCCCCATCCTCTCCTGGCCTCTTTGGCAATGCTACAGAGCTCAGACACATCACCATTCCATGCACGCTCTGCCTGCCACATCATCTTCCATCATCAGGAGCTGGTGGGATGATATGATACGACTGTCTGGATTGGCAAATGCAAAACCACATGGTAGAAAAAGCACTCTGGTGAATGCGCTATCAACTAAAGTATTGAAATACCATCGTTATGGCGGACACCACTCTTCCTGCTGCACATTGAGACACATGTTAGTCATGTTACACTGACGATGTTTTTCTTTGTAATTAAGTTTTCAGCAAAAACAAAAGTAGAAAAAATATTCTGTGGCAAAAGTCAGGACAACTCTCACAACAACACTGATTTTCCTTACGGATTTACAAACCACTTCCCTTGAGCTATTGGTAGGCTGAAAAAAAAATCCCTTTGTTGTTCACCTCCCATAAAAGCTTGAGTTGAAGATGCTGGAATGTCAGTATTTTTCTTTTCATGAACTCACACGAAGTGCTGAACTGTCAGGTGCTGGGCACGTTCTTTCCTTATTGGCAGAATAGGCAGGGCATGGAGTATGGCAGTTTGAGCTTTCCCCCCACGCTACCCTACCTCAACTCTACCCTGGCGTTTTTGCTTCTGATTCAATTCTACTTTATCAGATTAACAATAACAAGAAACTCTTAGGGTATGTCTACACTACCGCGGTAGTTCGACGGCTGGCAATCGAACTTCCGGGTTCGATTTATCGCGTCTGGTCGGGACGCGATAATTCGAACCAGGAAGTGCTTGCCGTCGACTGCGGTACTCCACCTCAGCGAGAGGAGTACCGCGGAGTCGACGGGGGAGCCTGCCTGCCGCGTGTGGACCGCGGTAAATTCGAACTAAGGTATGTCGACTTCAGCTACGTTATTCACGTAGCTGAAGTTGCGTACCTTAGATCGAATTGGGGTGTTAGTGTAGACCAGGCCTTAGTCATGCCATTCACTTGAGGCCTCCTCCAAAGCCCATTGAGGTTAATGGGAGTGTTGCCATTGACTCCAAAGGAACCTGAATTAAGCCCTTGCAGAGCATTCAGTCTAGAATAAAGTTCATAAAGCTGGGGCTGTGCTAACTATTTGGCTGTTGCATAATGTGTGAGTAACTCGGGGTGAAATGTACCTGCAGTGCTGCCCTGCATATGGTATTTGGTACATCCCTATTGTCCCAGTGGAGTGTGTCACTTCAAAGGACAACAGCTGTATTCTGCTACTGTATAGCCCGGAAACTGCAGAGGAAGGTAGAGGCTATGGGTTAATAAAATGTATTGCTGAATTTAGATGATAAAATAAGATCAAAGTTTTGTCCCCTCAGGCAGAGCTGACAGATGTTATTTCCACCGTTGAAGACAGAAAACAACTGAGGATGGGGACTACGATACAAACGTGTTCTACTGAAGTCTGCACGGCATTGCCAAAACAACCCAAGGACGCACATTCCAGGCATCTTTTGGTCAGAATCTAACTGCTTCCCCAGATGTCTGGAGCTGGGAGGCACAATGGAAGGGCATGCGGTTGCTCTGACTCATTGGTTGGGAGTTTGCAGTTGGAAGCGACATGAGGAGGCAATGTTCAGACTGTGTTGCCTCCTGCTCCAAAGGCAAACTGCACTTCTCCGACCTTGTCTTCTCAGAGCAACGTGGACGTTAAATAAAATTAAAACACCTTCCCCCTCAAAATGCCCCTCAAAAGAACAAACAAAAACCCTGCACTGCACACCCATTTCTCCCCTTAGGAAGAGGATGAGAGAACAAACCACACATGACAGATGTTAGTTGAAATTGCTTCCTGCACTACTGGAAGGTTCTCAGTTACTACGGTGATGGGCATGATGTAAGAACCTGTATAGAACAGAACAGAATAGCGGGAAAGAAAGGGAAAAATTGAGTTCTCTTGAAAATCCCAATCTAGGATTGGAGTCCTCTGCAAAACAACTTGGTTCTGAGAATCTAGAGGGGCAAACGACAAACTTCCCCCAAATCTTGCAGCTATTCTTGCCTCCATAGTGAAAGTCTTATGGCAACAGGGATCAAGTAGGGACTAGGGATTGTTTTTGTTTAATACAAGGGTTTTTTTGAAGTATTTCCTCTGCTCTGCCTGTACCATATAAAGTAGTTTTTCCTTCTCTCTCTCTCTCTTTCTCTCTGCATGTATACTTCAGTGCCTGCTTTATAATAACCTTTGTTTCCAGAACATACTTAGCATATGGATTTTTTGTTACATATAAGAACACACAATCTTTGTTTTTCATTTTCCCTCTGTGCCTTCTGATGATTCTAAGGAACACAGTAATCAAATGGGGGCTGGGGGAAGGAGTATAACATGACCACCCTCTAGACTTGCTACTTGTTGATTGGCCGCCTGCTGACAGGCTACAGTACAATGATTAGCAACTTATCAATAAGAGCACTAGACAGACAGACAGACAGATCAATGAGACAGCCTTTAGTGCTTAGAACTGACACAAACCAGATACGTTGATAGTGGACAGGTTTCGGAGTGGTAGCCGTGTTAGTCTGTATTAGCAAAAAGAACAAGGAGTACTTGTGACACCTTAGAGACCACGTGGGTTTTAGCCCACGAAAGCTTATGCCCAAATAAATTTGTTAGTCTCTAAGGTGCCACAAGTACTCCTCGTTCTTTTTGTTGATAGTGGAATTCATTTTTAATTCCACCCTCTAAAAATTAATGTAGGGAAAAGTTTAAAAAAACACTGTGTAGAATTGTGTTGCAATGTGGCAATCCTCAAAAGTCAGGAAACAAAGTGATTATATCAACAAATTTAACTTTGTCTGCATTGCCCATCCTGCGTATTCTTTGGGTATAGGTTTCACATCCTAAACTGTCATTTGTTAGGCTGTGTGTTTAGCCAGGTCATGAGAATAGATGCATCCCATACATGCAATGTAGCTGTGCTAATGTATCTGTTGTAATGTTATGTTCTGCCTTTTCTAACTTTTTGTGATGTTGACTGTGTAATATCAGCTTTGCATTGCAATGGTGTTTGACAGTTAATGTCCCAGTTTGTTTTTTAAAAGAAAACTGGAAGTGGGGGGGTGATGACAATAGGAAATTAAAAAATGTGGAGCTGTTTGTGTTGCTGATTTAACAAGTGCTACAGTCTTCACCAATGATGCGTGTATGTTTCTTGCTTCAGAGATACCCAGTTACGGGATTTTCCAAGCTCGGCCAGTGGAGAGGATACATTTTTTTGTTTAGCTAGTTACACACATAATCTCCCTCCCCCTCCATTGACACAATTGGGAATCTTCTCATCCACTTCAATGTGTGAACTGGATTAAGCCCTTAAATAGCTGCACAAACATGACTACCACACTTATTTTGAAGTACCAAAATCTGTCCTCCGACATGTGCATGAAATTCCCATTGCAGTGGGAGTTGTGCATATTTGAGGGCAGCAGTTGGCCTAAGAGCTTACCTAACAAAACAAAAACAATTTCTATTGTGCATGCTCAGTCCCATTTCTTCAAACAATCAGAACATTGTGTAAAAACAGGGGCTTTTGCAATCTTGAGAAATCACGTACTCCTCATAGATGCCTGTTAAAAAGCCAGGACGGCAGTTTCAAATAGCAGTGGGGGTTTTTTTGTTTTTTTTTGTAGTTATCGCAATAAAAGAAAGAGTGCTCACAATTTTTTTTTTACTATGGAAATATTTGAGATTTTTTTTCACCATCACCAAAGATGAAAAGGATTTTACTCAAACCTTCAATATAAAAAAATAAATCAATAAATAAAAGCACCATCAGGCTGACCCCAAGCAGGGAATATTTTGGTTAAAAGGTTAAATGCTTCAGAAAGTTGTGAGCATGTGAAAACAGAACATTATAATAGATACTGTTCTGCGACCTTATCTATAATGGCCATCACCAGCATGACTGCTATGCCATCAGCTGTCTGAGTTAATGCTATTATAGCAGCATATCCACTCTATTTATGAGTAACCATACAAATACCCTATTCTGCCCCCATGCTCAGGTTTTATTTAAAGCATGCATGTTTATCTTACAGTACTGTTTGCTCTGTTAAGCTCACAGCATTGTCTGCCCTGTTACTGTTTTTTTTCCCCATTCATGTCTAAATCCCATTCATATTACAGTTGCTCGTCCTTCTCTGTGCTTTGAATTTGGACATTTAAAAGGACAGAAAAAAGGACTTTTCTTCTCCTTTTCACAGAAGCTGGGAATGGGTGACAGGGGATGGATCACTTGATGATTACCTCTTCTCTTCATTCCCTCTGGGGCACCTGGCATTGGCCACTGTCAGAAGACAGGATACTGGGCTAGATGGACCTTTGGGCTGACCCAGTATGGCCGTTCTTATGTTCATGCATTTTGTGCTCTTCTAACAAATTGTTTTGGGGGGCCCAATTCTGGTCCTATGGAAGTCAAGGAGAATTACTGCAATATGGCCAGCTCTTAGTGATTTACTGAAGGTTTCTTTAAGCACTAAATTGAATATCCCAGCCCATTAATGTGGTCATCATAACATCATACAGGAATAGAACCCTATTTTTGATATGTTTTGTTATCCAGCTCTGGCTCATTCAGGTCCTTTCTTTTTGTTAACCAACAACTCTGTATGACTCAGCCGGACATATTTCTTTTATGGCAAGTCAAAACCTCATTTTGAGAAAAAATTTAGAGAACTGAAACTCAGTGCCATAAAATTTTAGATGAGGGTTACTTACTTTGTCCTAATACAGTGCTCAAGTGGAGGAATAAGGTCATTTTCTTTATCTTCAGTGTAAGGCTGAACTGTATCTGCAGAGACATTTCAGATATTTATCATCACCATCATCATGCCTGGGAGTCAACATCATGGATCAGAGCCCCACTGTGCTAGGCACTGTACAAACACAGAACAAGAAGATAGTCCCTGCCCCAAAGAGCTTCCAATCTACATGCTAAATCCTCTTTCCAAATCCTGCAAACAGTAAGTATTAGCATGGGATGGCAGATCAAATATTATCATATAGAGCCGATTCCATTCAGGATGAGTCTGGTAATGTACTATGAGCAAAGGTGTAGTTTAAAGAAAAGTATGATAGTCTGAAAACGTCATAAGTGGTACTTCTATTATTTAAAAATGGTACCCTGCCATTCAGAACCACTTACGTTTTACCAATCATTTCCCCACAAAGCCTATAGTGGCACACACATGACCTCTCTTCTTAAATGCGGGACAAAACTCGTTTTAACGGGAAGTACAGCAATCAATATACATGCAATACCCAATAGCCTCAATCAGTTACTTTTCAATTAAGTCAATCAAACTTTTTACAGTAACCTATGGCAGCTGCCTTGGAATTATGGGTGGTGAATGTGCCTCTGGAGAAAATGCCACCTTCTAATAACTCCAACCACAGTTATATTTTCCCTAGCAATTAGGAAATGACTGTATGCTCCTGAGAACCCCATTTTAAAGAGTTCTGAGTTCAAAGGATGTTTGAATGGGATAAGATACATGGTCATCATCTGTAATCATTATAAAGATCAGCGACATCTCTCCAGAAGTCCAAAAAAAGTCATTCTTTTCTGAAAGTTCTGTGTAAAATATATAATAAATATCTCTGAACCCACGGAGAGTCCCTGAATGACTGACAAAGGCACATGGGTGAAACAGGAGAGTCATGTAAAGTTCTCATGGAGTGTATCGTTTCCTCCAAATAAATCAGCCTATTTGCTGCCTATATCTGAGTAGGACTTTCTGTGGGGAAGAAGGCCCTTTTTGCCCTGTAAAGGCAGAGTGAAGTTCTGCGACCAGGGATTTGCTCTGTTTTTTGGCAAGAGATAACAGGTATTCTCTCTAACTTGTGGCAAATGGGTCCATATGAGTGAGCACTATAGATAAAATCTGCCCCTATGCAAAGGGCGAGCATGAGACTGTGTATCAGTAAAGTCCTACATAGATTGTGTTCTGGTCCACTCCGAATGAAGTTAATTCTGCTTGCCACTTCTTGACTCTTTCTCTATTTTTGCAAAAGGCTTTACCAGGCCTTGATTCTGCCTCCTTGGTTACAAACTACAGCCCTGGGCAAAGGGCATCATTTCAAGGAACGCTACTTTTGCACATCTGGTCAAAGAAAGCACAGCGCATACGGACTCAGAAGACTCAGTTCCACTTTTTAGGAGATGTTAAAGAACTCCAATATTTCTCATGATCAAACAAAGTTTGTACTGAGCAGGATGGCTATCTCCAAAGACACACAATGGGCTCAGAGGACTCTTAGAGAGATTTTCTAGCTGGAATGGTGAAACTATTTGGAGTTAATGCTGTACTGCAAAATTCCAAAGATAAGAAAAGATTTAGTAGTGCAAACCGTTTGGGGGAGTGATGCCTTAAACTTAAAACATATTTCTGAATCCAAGCCTAATTCCAGAGGAGAAATAAATTGGAGTCATAAGAGTTGGTTGAATGGTACAAAGAAACAATACACAACATAATAATTAGCAATTTCTCATCCACAGATTTCAAAGTGTGAGCAAGTATTATTATTCCTGTTCTACTGATGGATAAACTAAGAACAACAGAAGTGAAGTGACTTGCCCAAGTGCACAGATGTTAGTAGCAGTGGAGTAAATAGAACCTAGGTCTCTACTATTATGGTGACAAATGACGTCCTTGCCACAAACTGAAACTCACCGCCGTTAGAAATAATTAATAAGTAAGGGTTCTCCTTGACCATGGACAACTAATAAGACTGGCTTGAACCAAAAGGGTGTGTTGTTGCTTTTCAATAACACAAAAACTGAAATGTTTTTTCTCAAACTTACAAAAACATTGGAAAAAATCATGGAAAAGGTCAGCCCAAGAGGCATACGTTTCACAAAAATTGGGGGCATATGAAAAAATAAATGTAGTAGCTGTGTGTAAGGGTAGCAGGAGCTATTTATAATAAAGGTTCTCTCCTAGTGGCCCTTTGTACGATATATGTTAGTAAGTCTTCTCACTTCTGAAATAGACCACATATGGGTACCTGGAAGTTTGTTTATTTATGGAGATGATCCAGTGGTGAGCTGGAGCCGGTTCACACCGGTCGTGCGAACCGGTTGTTAAATTTAGAAGCCGGTTTAGAACCGGTTATTAAAGGGGTGGGCAAACACCGGCCCACGGGCCACATCCGGCCCGCGGGAACATCCTGTCCGGCCCGCCTGAGCTCCCGGCTGGGGAGGCTCCCCCAGCCCCTCCCCCACCTTCCCCCTTCTCACAGAGCCTCAGCGTACCGTGCCGCCGGCGCCAGCGCTCTGGACCGCTCCTGGGCAGCTCTGCAGCTCCTGCTGCTTTGAGCGGCATGGTAAGGGGGTGGGGCTGCGAGCTCCAGCGGGCCGTGCGGCATCCATACACCCTGCCCTGAGCAGCATGGTAAGGGGGCTGGGCCAGGGCTGGGAGGAGGGGTTGGATAAGGGGCAGGGAGCAGTTGGGGGGGCAGAGGTTCTGGGGGGGCGGTCAGGGGACGGGGAATGGGGGGGGTTGAGTAGACGTGGGAGTCCCGGGGGTCTGTTGGGGTGGTGGTGGATGGGGTCGGGGCAGTCAGGGGACAGGGAGCGGGGTGAGTTGGGTAGGGGGTGGGGTCCTGGGGGGCAGTTAGGGTGGGGGGGTCTCTGGAAGGGGTGGTCAGGGGACAAGGAGCAGGGGGGGTTGATGGATTGTGGGTTCTGAGGGGGGCAGTTGGGGGCAGGACGTGGGTGGGGGTCGGATGGGGGGGTAGGCTGTTTTGGGAGGCATGTGGGGCTTGTGCTCACCGGGTGGTTCCCTACCAGAACGGGCTTGTACTCACCGGCGGCACTTCGGCGGCAGGTCTTTCACTCGCTCCGGGTCTTCGTTGGCACGGCGGCGGCGGGTCCTTCAGTGCCGCCGAAGACCCGGAGCAAGTGAAGGACCCGCCGCCGAAGAACCGGTAGGGAAACGGTTCCTAAGATTTTGGCAGCTGATCACTGAGATAACCTACAACCTTCATAATCATCCCAGTAGGACGGACTCTAGGTGAATTTGAGTAAGAAGATCCAAACTATGGTGCTGCTACAATTTCACTTACCAAAGACCAAATCTTGAAAGGTGCTCCCGAGCACCCACAACTCCACACTGCAACTCTCAAGGTTGGGCACATCAGCTCTGTTTAATGAGTGGCCAGATTGCCCACTTACAACTAGCCATGACTAAAGGGCAGTGTGTAGGTGTGCTGCCTCACAAGCAGTCCAAGGAAGGAATTGGACCTTATTAGCAGCAGATTACTATATTCCCTGCACCAACTCAGCTGTCCCCGAAGGAGCATTAAGGTTCGAGCTAAGGCTGTAACCATTCCCCACCCTCTCTGCCATTTCCCACCCATCCTGCTAGGGGAGGGGGTAATACTGAGCCTGCAGTACCTACTTTGTCCCCTGCGCCTGCAGAGGTGTGGAGCCTATCCACAACTGGTTTATGGCCCTGTGAGTCTGGATAGACCAGATCACAATCTAGCCCTTAGAAATCAGCTTTCTTTAAGGGTGTAGGAGATTCTGGGAAATAGTGCATGCTCACTTTTAAACCTTTAAGGGCCCTTAACCTCAAAATTATCATGATGCGAACTCTATTTATTGTAACTAATAATGGAAAGCTAGGCAATGAGCACCAAACCTCTAATAGTCTGATACCAACAACAGCTGGCTAGATTTGGGTTATCTTATCAGGACTCTTCTTTCAGGTGTGATGCTGCTACTGTCACTGCGGAGGAAATGCAAAGGTTCTCCTATACATACCAACTGTTAACCGTATTTCCTCTTCCTGGTTGGCCAGGCCATCATAGTAATAGAGATCAAATCTCCGTTCCGTTTTCCAGTCACCTAGTAAGTCCTTTCTCAAGCAAAAAAGCACACTGAAATGGCTTTCACTGCACACGACCCAAATTGGGTACCTCGGGGTCTTCAAATAGCAGCCAACCTGGACGAAAGAGAGAAAGCATGAAAAACAAAACAGTTGATGGTGTACAATAATAGAGATAACAATAATTTTCACTAATTTATCACTTTCAACAAACATTAATTAATTAAGGCTCATAGTACACCACTAAAGCTGGTACAGATTATTTCCCCTATTTTTACAATTAGGTAAACCGAGGCACAATTAGGCCCAGTAACTCGCCCAAGGTTACACACAGATATGTTTTTCACTGCAACAAAGGTGTGTTCTTAGCTTGGTTTAATTAACAGGGGTTAAATTAGCAGCGAAGACACTGCAACTTGGCCATTAACTTACCATAGCAGCTTGAGTTAAAGCCTATAGAGGAACCTGAGGTTAAACTCAAGTTACTAACCTAAGTTAAAAGCCGATTTACTGTATCTTCACTGCTATTGTAACCTGAGTTAGCTAACCGCAGTTAAGAACACCTCTTTTTCACAGAGGGTGAAATCCTGGCCTGACTGAAGTCAGTGGCAGAATTCCCATTGGCTTCAATGGGCCCAGGATTCCATCCCTGGAATTCAGAAGCAAGGAGAACCCAGTTACCTGCAATAGCTACTAAACCACACTGAAAAGAGTAGAGTAATACGATGATGATGATTTAGTTATTCCTAGGTGCTGTACAGACATATTGGAAGACAAAATCCCTGCTCTGAAGAGTTTACAATCGAATACAATCCCCTCATATCGACACATTTTTCATTGGCATCTCAAATTCAGGGGGTTGGGTTGGGTTGGGTTTGGTTTTGAATGAGTAGAATAAAACAATACAATCTTTTGACGTTGAACAACCTTTTCCATTATTACTAAAATGGAAAGATTCTCAGAATCTCAGATGGAGTAAAATCAACGCATTAGTATTGGCCGCCTTTGATAAACCTCAGTTCTTTTTTTTTAACCTTCAATTGCAAGGACCTTATCATGCTCTCAAGTCACATTTGCAACTCCTGCTGACCTCATATGGACGGTCCACCCACAGACTAAATATAGCCCTAAGCATTCTTCATGGAAAAACAATATAAAGTGTAACTTACTTGAATGGCCATTATTTTTAAATCTTCCAACAGTTTGAAATATAAGTAAATACAGTATTATTGATGGTTTTTGAATAATCACCTAACTTATCATCTATCTATCTATCTATCTATCTATCTATCTATCTATCTATCTATCGTAGGGTTTTATCCTGCTGCCCACCACTGTAGAATCTGACCACCTTCCACGTAAAATCGATAGCAATAGCAAAGTCCCTACTGGACTTCATAGAGTCTCTGACACTTCTTCCTTTTTGGGGTAAAAACTCTTCTTGGGGTGCATGTTTTTTATATATGTATATTTTATATATGTCTATATAATATAGATATGTATATTGCACAAATATATATATATTTCTGGTGTTTACAACATACTGATATGTAAATTATTTAGGCCATGCTCCTATATCCACTGATGTCAATAAGATTTTCTTTTCCTGCCTTAATCTGTTCCATGATAAAAACAACGAGGAGTACTTGTGGCACCGTAGAGCCTAACAAATTTATTTGGGCATAAGCTTTCGTGGGCTAAAACTCACTTCAGTACCATCCCCTTCCCTCCCCAAGTCCTGTGTTGCCCTTTTACGATGACACCGTCCTGAAATCAATGCAATGTCCAGAGGTATTGGTTCACATGGAGCAGCAGCAGATGTGTTCACTTACTGGGACCAGTCTATCATGCAGTACATTTTACAGCAGGGAGCAAGCTCAGGATTTCAGCCCCTCTACTAACAGGTAAATGGATAAATATAGTAGCTGGACTGTTTAATGCACCAGGAACACCTTTCTTTTTTCTTCCTGTTGGGATTTAAGTTTTCAGCTATAAAAGATATTTAGTTATTTGCTATATTCCTGTAATTGAAATATGGCATCTGAACACAATGCAGCTTTGTTTTCCCCATGGAACTGCTGACTGTTTTATCTTCCAGAAATTGTTTAGGGAAACTAAAGACAAAAATAAAGCTTCTATGTTAACAGGATAGCTTTTATTATGATTATAATTATTTCCATTGAGGTGGTGCCTAGAGACCCCAACTCTATTGTGTTAGGTGCTGTACAAACATTAACTTTAGAACTGCTTAACATTAGAATGGTATGTCTGATTTTCATAGATCCAGTATTCTTCTTTCCTTCATATTATTTTTCCTTTTTTAATATTGTGAATTTTATCTTGATGACTGCTGCACTGATAACCACAGAAATCGAAGCCTTCCGTTTAGCCACACTTTTTATGCCACTTCTATTCTCTGCAAAACTGCTGTCATTGGTACAAGGTATTGGACAATGACTCTACAAAGAGACGTAAGGTCAACTGTCATCCTCCAACACAGAACTACTTGTTCTGAGGGTCAGTAACTTTCAAAAGAAGTTTGGACATTATATGGATAATGAGAATATCCACAGTTACATTAGGGTGAATACAAATATATAAAAAGGCTCTAAATCCTCATCCACTAACTAAAAAGAAACCTTCCCTTTGGGCTGGTGTTCCATAATAATTGTCCACTATGTGGCTTCTTGCAACTTTCCCTAAAGCTTCTGGTGTTGGCCACTGTCAGAGAAAGGATTTTGGACTAGGTGGACGCTGCTCTAGATCTGATCTGATAAGTCTTTTATTCCTGAGTTCCTGGGACTGAATAAAGATGTCAGGAGAGGGTTCTAGCAGGTCTATTTGCTACTGTGGACATTATGGTATATATTGCATATATAATGCTGCTTCCAATTCTCAGGCACATTGCCTATAGACAATGTGAGCTAATCAGAAAAAATAAAGGATATGCTGTATAGCCCATTCCATTACACAAATCTAAACAAAATTCTCAGAATTGTGAATTATGCACTTTTGTTAATAAGATATATATTTTGCATCTGAAATGTTATATAAACACAAAATCAAGCATCTTCCTGAAGCAGAGTTCCTTGGGATGTTAGGTAACAATTCTCTAGATCAGTAAGTAACTGTTCCCTGACTCATTACTTTGTTAATGTCTACATAACACATCCTTTTATTCAATAGTTTGGAGAGGGAGGGGTTGTAAATTCTTGGCTCAAAAGTACAGAAGAAATTTTGCAAAGTTAAAAGCTAAAAAAATAGATCATCATAAAAGAGATAACAATAAGAGAAGTACATAGATCTAAGATTTCAAATGAGAGGGAAATTGATGAAAAGATTTCACTTTACAAAGACACTTATATTAGTATTCATGTAAATCAAAGACAAATGTGAATAGTCAGTGACTTCCTTGTAACAATGCTGTCATCCCATAAATGGCTGCTAAAATAACACCCAAAAGGCTTCAAACAATATGTGCTGATGTGAGATTAAGAAAATAGAAAAAGGTTTCCAACCAAGGTTCCACTCTAGTTCTTATTCATTCGAACAGTCCCACTGAAGTCAATAGGGCTGCTCATGTGAGTAAGGCCTGCAGAATCATAGAATCATAGACTTTAAGGTCAGAAGGGACCATTATGATCATCTAGTCTGACCTCCTGCACAACACAGGCCACAGAATCTCACCCACCCACTCCTGTATCAAACCTGTGTCTGAGCCATTGAAGTCCTCAAATCGTGGTTTAAAGACTTCAAGATGCAGAGAATCTTCCAGCAAGTGACCCGTGCCCCATGCTGCAGCCTCAGATATGTATATTGCACAAAGAACTAAAAGCACATACTGCATTAACATAATACGTGTTCCACTAGTGTTTAAAACATTGCATACCAAATCCTCAACTATTGTAAACAACAGAGCTACACCAATTACACTAGAGGAAGAGTTGGTCTTAACTATATCATAAAATAGTGTTGTTAGTTGGACTTATAATCAAGGGTTTCAATGAAACAAATACTATCAGCTCTCCCCAAGATTTGAGACCAGAGACCAATAACACAGTGAAAAGGGGAATATAGCCTAATGGGGGAATGTTCACAAGTGCTCATTTGCTGGCCTAACTTGCTTCTGTTGAAGTCAATGGTCAAACTTCAAATTTAGGCCAACATTGAGGGCTTTTGAAAATCCCACCCTGGATACTATTTCTGATGTGTCACCTTCAAGAAGATAATGGCAGTCAAATACCCCAAGTTTTCTGCAAGAGGAGATGAATTCTGTGCCCATGCCTCTTGTTGGCCAAAGAAGCCAGTTGTTTGCCCCAGCCTCACCCACTAGCAAGAAGAGCTTGCATATTTTCCTGATGTCTCACACTCAGGAGACTCATTCATCTTTGTCTGTTGAAATCACACTGATGCACATGCAGAATTCAGAGTGTGTAAATAAAAACCCAAAGATTCCCTTCTCTCCTCTTGGGCTGCTGAAAATCTTTAGACAAGCCCTATTTACTCAGGCCATGTCTACATTTACCGGTAGATCGGCACTGCTGTGATTGATGCAGCGGTGTCAATTTAGCGGGTCTGCTAAGTCAATGGCAGAGCACTCTCCTGTCAAATCCGGTACTCCAGCTCCCTGCGAAGAGTAAGAAATCGGTGGGAGAGCATCTCCCAAGACACAGCGCAGTGTAGACACTGCAGTAAGTCAACCTAAGCTGTGTCAACTTCAGTTACGTTACTGAAGCAGCATAACTTAGGTCAACTTACCACGGTAGTGTAAACCAACCCTAAGAGCTTGCAGAGAGATCTGGCTCTTGGACCTATTAGTGTTTAACAATTGTCATTTTTGTTATGGGCCAGCCATATGCTTTGTACTTTACAGGAGACAAGTATAAAGAGAGTCCTCTCTTAAGAAGCCTATATTCGTATCACAAATGAATACTATAATGCATCAGTTTTAAAATATTTCATCACTTTTGACAGATGCTTATTAACCTATTGCAGGCAAAAAGGTGTGTGTGGGGGGAATATAGGGAGTTAGGTATCTTTTATGCTGCATGTTTACAATCCTACAGAGACTTCCCTACCACTTTGCCCCTCCCTTACAAATCCCTTAAGTACTCTCA